TACACACAACCACATTGCAACAATAAAAAAGAAGGGAGGCAAACGGTGATCTATATATATATATATATACATATTGCTGTCTTTCGTGAATTTCATCAGGGGATTCCGAGTAAAATAGATAAGAGGCGGGCGAAAAAAAAAGAAAAAGTAAAAAAAAAAAAATAGCTAAGGACTAGGAAGGCCGGAGGTGGCTGAGAGGCGAGCAATGTAAGTGAGGTGGCGGTCCTGCAGGACAACTGCGTAAACGCAATTGGGAAAAGCTACGTGTGAAGGCAGGCCCCAAAGGAGTCGTTAGCTGTGAGAACAAAAATGAAGAAGGAGGGGAAAGAGGAGGAAATCAGATTAGAAAAAAAAAAAAGTTAGTTTTTGTTTTATTTCCGTGCTTGTTTCTGGGAGAAAGAGGAGTAGGGAGAGTGTGGGTCGCCGTGCTGCGCTGGTTATCCGTCTTTGTTTGGTTTCCTTCTTTTTCGCACGGCGGAGGGAGCGCCTGCCTGCAGCGGCGGTCAATTTATTCCACAAAAATTTTCTGTCTTTGCCTTTATTTCTTTTTTGTGTACTTCGTCTGTTTTCTTCGCGACGATGTTACGTCTATTTTGTATGTGTTTTTATTCTTTTTTCCTTCTTTCTCTGTTTTTAGCTTTGTGCTTCCCATTGACGGTGGTGTGGCGGTCATCTGGCTCTGGCCGTTGAATTTCTCTCGTTGTAGTTTTTCGTCTTTTTGTTTTTTTTGTTGTCTTTTCTTTTTTTTTCGTCTTTTAGTTTTTGCTTTTTTTGATGGGGGCTTTGATGCAGTTGTGGGTTTTTTCTTCTTGTGATTCCTTATTTTGTTGTCTGTTTTTTTTTGTTTCTTGTTTTTTTTTTTTGCCGGTGTTGTTGTTGTTGTTGTTTCTTCTTTGTTTGTTTGTTTTTTACTGTGGTTGTTTGTGGACGCTGCCGACGCTCGCAACGTCCACCACCGTAGGCGCTAAATGGGTGCATCATTACGCTTCTCCTGTGGCCACGGCGGGCGCCGTTTCCGCCGACCGCACACGCGATACGGATCGTATTGATGCAGCCGCAGTGACTTCTATTTTTGGCTTCTCTTGTGGCTCTACTTCGTTCGCGCTCCTTCCCCTCTTTCTCTCTCTCTTTCTCTCTCTCCCACCCCACCCACCGCACCCCACCCCCCCACACACACAACCACATGCATCTTCAGCGCCTGAGACACGTGTTTGGTGGTCTTCCTCATTGTAACGGAGCGTGTCTTTTTGTCTTTTTTGTTTGTCTTTTGTTTGCGATGGTTTAATTCTTCCCTGAAAGAGGGTGATAACGTGGAGAAGAGGCGGGCACAGGTGGCCTCCGTCCCCTTGACACACGCCCCGTTGGGCGTGGCGCATCTTTCGCGTCGGAGCTTCGATGGTGGTAATCATGTGTGCGGACCGGTGGGCGGGGGAAGAGCTTCACGCACTCCCGCTTCCAGTGACTTATGTGGGCGTGCGTATGCAGCGGCAGCGCATCCCGCCACACACAACATCGTACGCACATGTATATTACCTCCTGACATTGTTCCCTCCGTGCGCCTTCTCCTTCCTGAATTGTTGGTTTGATTGTTTTGTTTTGTTTACTTCTCAGCTATTCCTGGTAGTACACGTTGTTGGTTCTTTGATTATTTCTTTTCTCTTTTTTTTTTTCCTTGTTTGTATTTGGTCGTCTTTTTTCGGCACATCGCAGCTATGACTTTCAGAGCTACGCTGCTGCTGCTGCTGCTGCTGCGAGTGCTATAGTGGGTGGTCTCAAGGCGTTTTTTTTTTCGTTCCCCCCCCCCACTCCGGTTTCTTCTCGTTGAGAGGGGGCGCCGTCAGTTGCTGATATACACACATGCACATATATATATATATAAAAATAAATGTATGTGTGTGTGTATTTACTTACGATACGATACGATACCTGCATGTATATATGCACACATGTGGGCGTGTGTGCTTGTGCGTGCATTGCCTGCATTTCTCGGTAGTTGGTTTGTGCCTGGGCAGATACCAGCAAAGGAAACAAGCAGAATCAAAGAAGCGGCTTAAAAAAAACAACAACAACAACGAAACAGAGACATGTATGAACAAATAGAGGAGAAAAGAGAAAAGAAAAAAAAGATTTTTTTTTGTTTTCTCCTCTCATTCTTAATGAACCCTGCGAGTTTCCCCCCTCTCACTCTCACCCCCCACTCCACACACACGCACGCAGGGAGGGATGTACGGAGGTACACCAGTGCTTGTAGTCTTTTATCTGTGCGTTGTTGCCGGTGGTGTTTGTGCCTTTTTTTTCTTCTTCTTTTTTTGTTTGGTTTTTCGTGGAAAGAAGCCGCCGTAAAGACGCTTACAATGCGTGTTTTTATTTATTTATTTTATTTCATTGTTCTTTGCCTGGGCAGCCGTTTGCGCGCATGCATTCGTGCCCATTGTTTTTTTTTTTAGTGAGTATACAGTATGTATAGATGTATATATATATATATATCTATGTGTATAGGTATATACCGCCCCCACCGTTAGTCCCCTGCACAAGCGCGTTGGGCCGCGTGCCTGAGGCGCATGCAGAATGAGGACAAAAGCAAAAAAAAAAACGAACGTGCATATATACATACATACATACATATACATGCATATATATATATACATATACATACATATATAGGAAAAGGAAAGGGAGCAGAGGAGCACATAAACGTGGAGTGGAGAGAGGAGGAGCTACACCGACGACGACGACGACAATAATAATAATAATTAACAATAGTGTGTGTGCGAAGAGAGTAAAAAAAAAA